TAGACATAATTTAGAGAAATAAAATGAAAGTAACTTATAATAATATGTATTTTAATGTGTAGATTCCCAAGCATGCCTACATTCAAAGACATAAGAAAGAAGACCAATGCTTGCTTCTGTTGTAATGAATAAGCCTGGATTTAAGAAAGGCTAGATTAGAAGCAATTCTACATATGAAATAAAAAAGCAGAGGTATTGGTAGACATAAATAAATAAAAACTAGTATTACAAAAAAAGTCTAGAGTTAGAATAAACAATACCAGGTCAGATATGTATACAATAAACGAAAAATAACTGTAATTGAAGTAGTGATAACATGTCAAGAAAACTATAAAGTATTGAAGTAGAAAAAATAAGGAAGTATGATGTTTTTGCAAATGAGCCAGGCCTTTTTATAACACCAAAATAATTTCCTATATTATTTTATGGAACACATATTCCCTAATTTAAAATGTTGAGGCATTCATTTATCTGTCAATATTTAAAAGACTTTGGAAACCATATCTTGTGACAAAGGAATAAAGAATAGATTGGAAGAAGAAATATCAATATAAGAGCCACTAGAAAAGTTATATAATAGACTTTTGGAGACAATTTCAGAATAAGACTAAAAAAATACCAGGCAAGCCAAAGACACAAAATCTCAGTATATGATTTTTTACAAGATCAATTCCATATTATTGGGCCATTGGACTTTAACAAGATCCTTGCACTGCATGTGCCTCCATTAATTCAATAATATTTGGCTTTAGTCTGTTAAAAGTCTCAAATCTCTTGTTATATACTTGCCATTGGTTTCATTGCTTTTTAGTACTATTACACTATTGCGCTAAAACCCTTTTGACTAAATATACTTGGATATGTTATAATATTAAGCAGAGAATGACACTAGCCCAATGCTTTACACCCTTTCCTCTCAACAAAACACTTTTGGCTTGGCCCTAATGAGCACTAGTCAAATTCAACTAAGCTACCACTTTCTTCAGGCTGCTCTTGTGCTTAAAGAGGACAATAATGGCCATCAAGCTGGAGATGCCTTAAATCTAAACACAATCTTTGTTAGACTGGGACCTTATTTCCAGTCCCATCCGAATCCTTTTATTCTTTCAAATTCTTTTTTCTATATATTTTTCTTTCTTCCTCTCTCTCTCCTAGGACCACAAGTACCAAAAACAGTCAATTTAGGCTGCTCTACAGTGACAGTATTAGTGACAGGTAAAACAGAGAGGTCAGTTTACAGAGGAACAGACTATAAGACATAAGGTGCCATAGCATACCTAGTGTGTTTGGTGAAGGACCCTAGAAACGCTGCCTATTCTAAATATCCACCTCTATCCCACTGGCTTATCAGAGCACTTGAAATGTTATCAACTAGAAAAATCTTCAACTTTCAGGTTAGGATTTTACATTTTCAGGATTCTTCATGCTAAAATGCAAACAGCCATGGAAAGGTATCAGACTAGGTCTCTGAGGCATCAGATTGTTTTCCATTATAATACCAAGCTAACAACCCAGTCCTGGTAGGAATAGGACAGATAAGCACTGGTGAATAAGGGGCAGAAGAAAAGTATGGTTTATAAGGCATTGGCAAGGGGGTTAAATCTGAGTAAATTCCTGCCCTGGATAACACTGGGCAAACACAGAAGGATATGAAAGCCCTAGGACCTGGGAAAAATGGAAGAGGAAACAGTGGTAGAAGAAGATTGAAAAAAAAAAAAAGAGAAGCTCAAAAAAAATTAACCATTTCACAATTTGGTTGTAGGCTGACTGGGATGATCAACTCCCCAAGGGCATAGTCTCAGAGCAGCAGCAGAATATGAAGCAATCCTGAATAGGAGGCTCTAGCTTTGGTTAAAAGTCTGGGAAAAGCAGGAAAATAATCTCTCAGACCGGTAATTCCCAGCACAATATATCAAATATATCAACACAGGAGACTTCTAAACCTTTCTGTTCCTCCACACACTCTTCACTTCACCCCAAACCAAGTGAAAAATTGATGGGGAAGGGGAGGTGTGCAGAGCAAAAAGTGGGCCTGCACAGTTAAAAGCTCCCCAAATGATCCAAATGATTATGACGTGTATCCTTCCCCTATAATGACAAGCTTCTTCCTCCCCCAAAGCTTAATTAGACCCCAGTTCTACCAAAATGATAAGCAGATCCAGCATGCTATCTTTTAGTCCAAAGCAGTTCCTAAAATTCTTACATTTTAACGAATACATGATTTTGATTGCCACCTAGTGGAAGAGATTGAAAACCACAAGCTAAAATGACGAT